TTTTTTTTTAAACTTTTTCTTCCTCTTTTGCTAAGACAATCGCCTCGCGCCTTCCTCCTCCTCCTCGCCTAATTTTTTTTTCTTTTTTCTTTTTCCTCCCGTCCGTTCGTCCGCGTTCCCCCTTTCCTTTTCTCAACCCCACTTTCGGCTGCCTGCCTGCTGCGTGCGTGCGTGCGTGTCTGCTTCCCGCATTTATTTACTATTTTGCCATTGTAACTGGGGGGAGAAGAGCCGTGCGATCTTTTCTACCGTCTCTCTCCCCCCCCCCCACCACCACCCTTTCCACCCAAAGCGTTAAATTAAACTGAACGAAAGGACCGGCAAAAGGAGAGCGGGGGAGAACCCAACAAGAGAGCGAGAGAGAGAGAGAGAGAGAGAGACGGGAAAAATTAAAAGAAAACCACCACCGTCGCCGATTACAACGCGCTCCCTTCTCCTCCGGAGCAACTTCCAAACCAAGAAAACCAGAATTAACTTTGAACTGCGAGAGAAAAAGGCTGGAGGGGGGAGAGCAAATAGACTACAAATAAAAGTGGAAGCCCCCCTCCCTTTCTCTTTAGACCGCCACAGCTCGCTTCGGCTCCCAACGACAGGCGCAACCGGCCGGAAAAGCGGATCCGGCGGCCACAGCAAGCGACGGGGGGCCGCGCGATTTGGCCACGGTGTCCCTTAGATATGGCAATGGTAGTGGGCGCCTGGCGAGACCCGCAGGACGATGTGACCGGCCCGCAAGGAACGCAGCCTTCGCAAGCTCCCCCGGTGCCGGGAGCTCCTACCGGCGCCCCCCATACCCCACAGACGCCCGGCCAAGGAGGGCCCCCGAGCACACCGGCTCAAACCAACCCGGGCAGCCAGCAAAACCAAGGGGAGAAACAACAGCAGCAGCAGCACATCGAATGCGTGGTGTGCGGGGACAAATCCAGCGGCAAACACTACGGGCAATTTACGTGCGAAGGCTGCAAGAGTTTCTTCAAGCGGAGCGTCCGGAGGAACCTTAGCTACACGTGCCGCGCCAACCGGAACTGCCCCATTGACCAACATCACCGCAACCAATGCCAATATTGTCGCCTCAAGAAATGCCTGAAGGTTGGCATGAGACGGGAAGGTATTGGAATTTCATTTGTTTTCCATTTCTCATCCGTCGGCGGGGGGGGGGGGGGGCGGTCGGGGCGGGGATAATAATAGCCCCTCCGGGGATGCCAGGGTCCCCTCTAAAAACTGAAATCCAGCCTGCGGAGGGAGGTCTGGAGACTTGGTGGCTGTTGTTATTGTTCTTGTTCTTATTAATATTATTATTATTTTAAAGTCTGTTTTGTTTTGGCGCACAAAGTCGAGGGGCTTTTAGCACTTTCCTTTCTTTTTTCTTTTTTTTAAATATAAGCCCCTGGTCTGGGTTTGTTCTCCTGAAATGGGAGGAAATGAGGCGAGGGGAGAGAAACCCGCTTTGAGTTTCTGGGCTCCGGGTGGGAGGTTGGAAGGACTAAAATGGCTTTCCTGAAGACTCCCGACCCCAAAAGCCAAACAACTTTTCTCTCTTCGCGCTCTCTTCCCGCTTTCCATCCTCCTCGAAATGGCTCGCGGGGGTGGGGGGGGGGGTTGGGGTGTCTCCGGAAGCTGGGATAGATCCCGGGAATGAAAGCAATCAGAAAGAAAGAAAGGAGAGCTCCGGGGCAATCTTAGCTACGTAAACTTCTTCCCCTTGTTCTCTCTCGCCTCCCCTTCCTCCCTCCCTCCCCCGCATCAGCCTTCTTCCTTTCGGTTCCTGCTCTGTAAATAACCAGAACCCATAAATAAATCCCGGGTCGATCGATCGATCGGGGCTTCCGTTCGGGAATTCCGGCAGGTTCTAACTGGGTTTTGCTCGGTTCCGGAGAAGGCTGGTTCTTTTTCTTCCACGAGGTCCTTTCGGCCTTGGGAAAATGGCAATAAAAAAACCTTCCTCGTTTCCCTGCCTTTTAGAGGTAGCTCGTTTTGTGTAGTGTGTGATTGGGAAGCGGCGGAGGGGAGGCGTTGGGAAGCTCAGGCGGCGAGGATCCGGGGTTTGAGGGGGGTGGTGAGGACGACGCGAAGCCGATCTCGGAAGCGTTGAAAAGCCTTTAAAGGGAGTCGAAGCAGCGAGCGGGGATTTTTTTTTTTAAAAAAAAATTATTTTTATTTTGCATTTTTGCTCTCCTTTTTTCTCTTTCTCTCTCTCCGCAAGATGGAGCGCCGCGGCGGAAAAGCTCGGCGAGCGAAAGGCGAGGCACGGCTTCTTGTTAATGGCGTAGCGCGCCTCTTCCACTCTTTCAGCCGCCCCGGGTTGGATGGTTTTTTTTGGGGGGGGCGGGGGTGTTGAAAGCAGCTTTCCCGCTTCGAGGGGGTCTTGCCGGCTTTGGGAAACGTTAGGGGTCAGGCTGCAGGCAAACGCGCACACACACACCCCGCTTAGCCCTGCCTTAATTCGGCTTTCTTTGCCGCGAATCTCGGCTTCTTTCATTTTCTCTCTTTCTCTCTCTCTCTCTCTCCTCTGTCACCACCATGTAAATTTATGAACAAAACCAAAGGCCCACTTTCTGCAGAAGAGTTTTCCAGCAGCCCCTCCGCTTCCTCTCGCCCCCCGGCTGGGAGCAGCGGAGAAAATATAACAATAGGGTCCGGAGGACCTACATTTCCCCCTTAGCCCGCCGGCATTGTGTATTTATTTTGCTTGCCTGCTTGCTTTTTTCTTCTCCCCCTCCGGCCTGTTTCGAGCAAGTGGGAAGCCACGCTGGAGAAGGTTTTCTTTTTTTTCCCCTTCCCTTCTCTCTTTCTTTCTTTCTGCCTTGGCCTGGCGGATATTTTTCCCCTTTGCTTTTTGTTTTTATTATTATTTTAATATATGTGTGTGTGTGTGTGTGTGTGTGTGTGCAAGGAAAGGGCTTCTAGGAAGGACAAGGCCGAGAAGGTTTCAGAAGGCAGGCTGGTTGAAAACGTGGGACAATTTCACGCCAGGCGTTTCCAAATAGCTTCTGCTTGGATGGGGGGGGGTGGGGGTCGCCCTCTTAGCATTGCACACACACACACCCCCGGGCTGAAACCCTAAACATTCTTAGTCTCCCTTCCCCGTCCTGATCTGTGTCGCCCTCCCAACCCAGCTACCACACAAATAAACATGTATTTCCAGCCGGTGCAGAAGGGGGTTTTGTGCCTTGACCTTCCTTCCCGGGTCCCTCGGATTTCCTTCTCCCTTCCATCTCCCTCCTGCTGCCCCCCCCATCTCCCCAGAAAGCCAGCCAAGCTGTAGTTCGGATAGCACCATCACCATCCTCCTCCTCCTCCTCTTCCCCTTCAGCCTTCCTTAGCAATGCAGGTATTAATTGCTGTAGTTTCTTTTTTATTCACGGCAGCCGTCCAGAGGGGCAGAATGCCACCTACACAGCCGACCCACGGCCAGTTCGCCTTAACCAACGGGGACCCCCTGAACTGTCATTCGTACCTCTCCGGATATATTTCCCTCTTGCTGCGCGCAGAGCCTTACCCGACCTCTCGCTTCGGCAGCCAGTGCATGCAGCCGAACAACATTATGGGCATCGAGAACATTTGTGAGTTGGCCGCCCGGATGCTTTTTAGCGCGGTGGAATGGGCTCGGAACATTCCTTTCTTCCCCGACCTCCAGATCACCGACCAGGTGGCTCTACTGAGGCTCACCTGGAGCGAGTTGTTCGTCCTCAACGCTGCCCAGTGCTCCATGCCTCTCCACGTCGCCCCGCTCTTAGCCGCCGCCGGCCTCCACGCGTCGCCCATGTCCGCCGACCGCGTGGTCGCCTTTATGGACCACATACGCATTTTCCAGGAGCAGGTGGAGAAGCTGAAAGCCCTACACGTGGACTCGGCGGAATACAGCTGCTTGAAGGCGATTGTCCTCTTCACCTCAGGTAGGGGGCGGCCTCTGCTGGGGGCTGGGGGGGTTGGTTGCCTCTGCCTTCCGAGTGTTGGTGGGCAGTGGGATTCGGGCCTCAGAACCGCAGCCTCCCTCTCTCTCCCTTCCCCTCTTTCCTTTCTTCTCAATTTTCCTAGAAGAAATGGAAAGGGCGAGGTGGGGGGGAGGACAGAGCTTCGCTGGGGCGTTTTGTTGTGGGTTGGTTGGCTTTTGGGGTTGGGGGGGACAGAGACAGGGGGATTAGAGCTGTGGTTTGACCGGGAGGCTGTCTCCTTCTTGTATCTGTGTCAGCTGTGCAGGCCTAAGGTTGAAGTTTGGAAAGTTCTCTTCTACATTAGAAAATACTTTTCTTTTAAAAAAAGAAAAAGGAAAAGAAATCAAGAAACTATGTAGTAGGAGAGTGGATAAAAATTGTAGGGACCTGGGGTCTAGACAAAAAGGGCCCTGTTTTATTTTAATGGAGCCCCTCTGAATCGCTGTGAACGGAAAGTGTGTGTGTGTGTGTGTGTTGGAGTTATCTCTAGAGTTGTCCCACTAAGCTCAGAGAGATGGGCTTTTGTGTCAAGAGAACAAGAACAGCTCAGCTTCGTATTTTGAGACCACTGAAAGACGGGCAAGGTGCTAAAAATGACAATGGTCAGCCAAATGAAGAAAAAAAAAGGGACAATGAACCAACTTTGCTTCAATAAAAAGAAAAATTAAGTTCGCCAAGCCAGGAGATAGACAGCTCAGCTTGATAATAATAATAACCACCTCCACCACCATCAATAAACAAACCTGATTGGAACCTAGACGTGGTTAGAGTAGATAATCTTACACTATATAACTATTGGCCTACTAACAAACCGTGTCTAAACAATGAGACAGGTTTTGTCCTTAATTTAGAAAATACGATAAGTTAAAATGTAATGTATGCGCCACACATTTAAATTGTTGCCCCCCCCCCCAAACCAGAGCTCGGAATCAAACCTTCCTAAACATATTTTTTTCCCATCAGTAACTGCAGTATATAAGGCCACTGTAATTCAGAAATGGCAGCATTCAAGGATCTTCCCTCTTCTCTCCATTTTAGCAAGTCATAAAAGCAGAAAATAGGCCATTTGAACCATCAGGCATGGGGGGGGGGGGGGAATTCTAACTAGGGAGAGAATATATTTCTGTGTCAACTTTCTCCTGTATAAAAATAGTGCTACAGTTATAAAACAACAATGGAAGGTATGATGAAATCTAATAAGCCTCGGTTCAATCTGGTTGAGTAAGACATCTGGGGCTAACTCTGGAGGTGAAATATTTCAAATCATGTCTGTCTTTTATACTACACGGAGTAATATAATAATAATAATAATAATAATAATTCATGAGATCAAGTCTCTAACGTTTGCCTGATAGTCCAGAGAAAGCAGTTGAAGTCATATCTTAAAATGTCTTATTTCCTAAATAGTAAAGAACCCTGGAAAAATGTTCACTCCGCATACATGCAGGCAAGGCTTGTGGAAATGCACACACATATATATATAGAAATATCAGGAAACTGGCCTAGCTAAGTGCAGTTTATATGAGAAAATAAAGTCTCACAATTCAGGTTTTTTTGTTGTGTTAAGGGAGACCTGGGGGAAACCAAGTGCCTTCCTGGACTTTGTCCAAAATTTAGGTCATGACCTGAACTTCCTTTTATATATTATTGCTTTCCATAATTGCATTTTCCCCCCTGTTCAAATCTTTGTTCCCCACCCAAATCACTTGAGCTCCAAACGTGGCTGGTTGTCAGAAACAATTCTAGAAAGAAGTGTGAGTGTTGTGTGAGACGATATGTTTGTAGAGTTTCTCTCTCTCTCTGTACCTCAGTGTCTTTTAAAAGAGGAAGGATTCTTAGGGCCTTCCCTTTAAACTCTTCCTTTCTCCTTCTCCTTATCTTCCGCATTTATGATTATGATTGCAATTAGTGCTATTAATATTGTTCCCCTTTCCGGGAAACACTTCAAGGCACTGTTTGCCCTTAAAGCACAAGATTTATGACTGTTTGCAAAATACGGATTTGTATGTAAATTGCCTTTGCAAGGTAGATAAAACTTCTGTTATCTGATTTTGTGGAGTTATAAAATGAGGAGGGGGCGGAAAGGATGCGGGACTGACCAATTCAACTGCCCTAATATACCGCAGGGCCTGGCATGTATTGGAAAGCCAGCAAAGAGTCATCTGATTTTCTTTTTCTGTCTGTCTGTCTGTCTGTCTGTCCTTTCTTCTTCCTGGGCCTTTTCTATAGATCCTGGACAGGGTTTCTAATGTTTTTCAAAATATGCATGTGTTGGTACTTTACCCAGCCAGCTAAGGTCACAACCAGAGTCAAGGCAGCTTTTGATTAAAAGGGGGCTCTCATTGTATTTTAGCTTGTCAAATGTGGAGCCGTATTTATTTTATTTTTATATATTATATGTGGTGAGTGTGTTTGTGTATGTGAGTGTTAAACCCAGCAGAGGGGAAGAGGGAGAAAAGAGCTCTAATGAAGAGAGAGATCAGATTCTGCTTGGCTGCCCTTGAATAAGCTAAACTGACAAGATCAGTTTTAAAGGACCACTTAAATCACTTTCAAAGACTGGAGGAGAAACTGCGGTATCTCTTTTAGGGGAAATCGCTTCTTTCTTTCTTTCTTTCTTTCTTTCTTTCTTTCTTTCTTTCTTTC